AGCCCGCAAGGCAGAGACCGCTGACTCCTGCCTCGGCGCTGCCCCCCCAGCTGGCGGGAAACGCACCCCAGCCCGCCAGGGAGGGCGGACGGAAACCTGCGAGCCAGTGCCGGCCCGGGAACCCTGGTCACCGCAGGGCGGGCGCCTCCCTGCGCTCACACAGTGGACAGGGACCAAGTGCAGGGCAGCCTGGCCGCGAGGAGCACCAGAGGCCGCGTGGACACCCGGGGAGGCGCTCGGGGATGACGTGCGGCGACGTGGGCGGGACGCAGAGCCCAGGCTGGACACTCCTGTGGCAGCCGGTTCCACCGAGCCGCATGTAACCACCAGTGGCGACTGGGGAAGGGGGCGCACAGGGGAAGGGGCTGGCGGCAAAAGCCACACACCAGCGGCTTTTGAGAAAGCCCGAAGCTGACCTACATCCCACTGGACGCCCCAGCTCGAGGGCGGCTAAAGCCTGACCGGGAGAGCGCAGCCCAGGACGGCGCGCAAGTCACGGTGGCCAAGGAGGGAGCAGGGGACGGCGCCGGACAGACACCGGCTGACACCGAGACGTGTAGCTTTGGAAGGGCAGGATGGGACGGCACAGCCCCAGCGGAAGGGGACCCCATCCCGGTCGACACCCCGCCCCCCCAGAACAAAGGCGGCAACTTCACAGCGCGGAGACTGACAAGCCCCGCCCCGCAGGCTGGAGGCCAGCCGAGGCTGACCTTCCCGAGGCGGCCCCCGAGGCAGCAGCCAGCCCAGCCTGAACGGCCACCCCTCCGGCGCAGCGGCTGGCCCCCGAGCGAGTCGGGCGGGGGCTGCGCCAGGCACACGCCCTTGCTCGGCCAGCGCCTCCGCAGAGGACCCAGATGCGGTGGTCGCCGAGGGCCGCCTGGGGGGGCCGCAGCCAGCGGACCCAGTGCCAGCACCCGGGAGGCCCGGGCGGAGGGGCCCACCTGGCGCCCGAGCGGAACTCCTTCATGATGGACTCGCGCTCCTTCTGCGGCATGTCCCCGTGCATGGACGAGACGGTGAAGTTGGCCTCTCTCATCTTCTCCGTCAGCCAGTCGACCTGGACGACAGACACGTCAGCCGCTGACCACACCGGCTGCGCCGAGCGCCTGAGGACGCGCAGCCCCGCGCCTACCTTCCTCTTGGTGTTGCAGAAGATGACCGCCTGCGTGATGGTCAGCGTGTCGTAGAGGTCGCACAGGGTGTCGAACTTCCACTCCTCCCTCTCCACCGCCACGAAAAACTGCTTGATGCCTTCCAGGGTCAACTCGTCGCTGGGGACAGACGCTCCGTGACCCAGGCGGCCCTGCCCGCCGCCCCGCCTGCCCCGCCCCGCCCGGGGTCCGGGCCTCGGCTCACCGCTTCACCAGGATGCGGATGGGGTCGGTCATGAACTTGTTGGTCATCTCCAGGATCTCGTGCGGCAGCGTGGCGCTGATGAGAACCACCTGCGTGGCGGGCGGCAGGTACCTGTACACGTCGTAAATCTGCTCTTTGAAGCCTGGGGCGGAGAGGACGCCGGAGACCGTGAGCCACCCAGGGACAGGACCCGTCCACGTCGCCCCTCGGAGGCAGCGCTGGGCACGCACAGGACCGACGGCCGGCCCAGGGGCGGGGAGCCCCATCGCGGCCCCCACGTTTACCAAGCCCTGCACAGGCCAGCGGCGCGCAGACGCAGTCCTGGCGCCCTCGGCCGCCCCACAGGCCCCCCCCCAACACTGGCGCCGGCCCCGCGCCGGGGCGACTTTAAGTTGGGGAAGAAGGTTCTCGCCGCCTCCTACCTTTGTTCAGCATTTCATCAGCCTCGTCCAAAACCAGCATCTTGATGGCTCGTGTCCTCAGGCTCCGGCGCCGAATCATATCTGCAGAGTGTTCGGCGCGTGAGTGCGCCGCAGGCCGGCGGCTCCCTCCCGCCAGCCCCCCGCGGGCCCGGCCCCCGCTCACCGAAGACGCGGCCCGGCGTGCCGGCCACGACGTGCTGTCCGTAGTCCAGCTTGCGGATGTCCTCACCCACGTTGGTGCCCCCGATGCAGGCGTGGCACTGCACGTTCATGTAGTCGCCCAGAGCCAGCAGGCCCTGAGAGGGGCACGGTCACACAGGCGCCGGGCCCGTGAGCCCCCCAACAGCAGGCCCCCCAGCAGGGTAAGCAGCGGTCTCTTGTCGGCAGCGACACACGTCCATCACGGGGCAGCGAGAAGAGCGCTGCCCGGCCCCACCAGACCCCGGCCGCTCCCCGGGCCCGCGTGATGCTCAAGTGCAAACGGCCACAGCTCCCTTGACGGAAGCGCCAATTGCGGGGGAACGCCACCCTGAGACTGCAGGGGTCTCCGAGGCCCACACGCTCCACAGGGCGGCGCCCGCCACCGACGGCATGCGGCGGCGGGCGGCAGACGGGCCGGGCGGCCTCCACCACCCACGGGAGAGCAAGCGCGCAGCGCCCGGCGGCCGCCAGCGCCTCACCTTCTGGATCTGCACGGCCAGCTCCCGCGTGGGCGCCAGGATCAGAGCTTGGGTCTCCCGAACCTGGTAAAGCAATGCGTCGGGGGGCTGCCGCACACTCCGCGGCGCCTCAGCTCCGCTCGCCGGGCGTGCGGTCAACCAGCGCCCACCCCGCGGCGCGGCCGACGTCCCCGGAGGCCGGCAGCGAGCCCGATGACCACTCGGGCAGGCCAGGACTCCCGCGACAGGAACCTCCACCAGCTGCAGACACCTCCTGGGCCCCCCGGGGGCACACTGTGAAGCCACCGCAGCGGGGGTGACCCCAGGGCGCAGCAGACCCTCCTGTCTCCCCACTGCTCCCTCCACAGTGGGTTTCGGTCCATCTGCCTGTCCTGCTCCCCACTGTCTGGTGAGGCCACTCACCCCCTGGAGAAATGGCCCGCACCCCAGTTATGAGTGTGTTAACGCGTCTTTGAAAACAACGACAGTGGAAGTGAATCTCCTGCACAAGAAACCCCACAGCGCCTTGCAACAGCTGCTCAGGTAAGATGCCCAGCGGGGAGCTCAGCCCCCAGA